TAAACTCCTGGCTGGCTTAGCCCTGCACCAGGAGCCTAGCCATCCCCCAACACCACCATTGCTGGGTTGCTAAGCCAAAGAGAGGAGCTCCTAGAACAATAAGCCAAACCTCAAATAACCAAGAAGGGGAGGTACTCTTAGAGGGAAATCCAAGTCCAATCCAAGATCAAAGACAGGGATTTGTCTGCATTATTATTACATGCATTGATTACGGTGTGTACACTTGTGGTATGTACACGTGCCACAGCACACATGTAGAAGACTAAGGACAACATGCAGTGGTCGTACGTTCTCTCCTTCTACCATGTGGTCCCAGGGATTAAACTCAGTGACAAGCACCTCTACCTGCTACATCATCTCACCAGCCCAAAGACACAGATTTTTGAAGCATCCACACCATTGTCTACACCATCTAAGAGATTTTCAGGTACTCTTAGGGCCTCAGTATCTCCATCTACAAAATGGTTGGTCTAGACAATTGTTAAGACCCCGCCCATTCAGACACCTAACAGGGCTTCAGTCATTCAACAAATGGATTTAAAGATGATCCTGAAGGTCAGGTTCACAATGTGACCAGGCACACAAGACAAGACTACAAAAGTCCATATACCACAGGCTGAGTGGCAGGGTTAGAACATGGTTTAAAGGTACAAAATGTTCTGTGAATTATAATCCCATTGTTTTAATTGTGTAAATAAGTATACACACCAGAAAAATCTGAATGTGCATGCACTAAAATGATTGGGGGACTGGAGAGATGGCACAGTGGTTAAGAACACTTTAAGCGTTCTTCTAGAGGACACAGGATCAGTTCACAGAACATACATGGTAGCTCAAAACCATCTGCAACTCCAGTTCCAGGGGATCAGAAGCCCTCTTCTGGCCTCTATGGGTGGTGCATTTACATACATGCAGTGAAACACTAATATACATAAAATAAAAATACATAAATCTGGGCTGGAGAGATGACTCAGCAGTTAAGAGCACTGACTGGTCTTGCAGGGAACCCAGGTTTGATTCCCAGCACCCACATGGTGGCTATGAACCATCCTTAACTCGAGTTCCAGGGGAATCTGACTCCCTGTTCTGAACTCTGCAGCACTGCATGACACGGGTGCACTCACATACATGCAGGTAATACACTCATACACATAAAATAAAAATAATAAATAAAATATTTTTTAAAAAGTAAATAAATCTTTTAAAATGAGATTTGGGAGGCAGAGGAGATAGCTCAGTAGGTAAAATAATTTTTCAAACAAATCTGATTACTTGAGTTTTAATCCCCAGAACCCACATAAAAAGCCTGATGCAACAGTAAGCATCTGTAATTCCAGCACTCATACAGCAAGACAGGCAGCAGAGACAGGAGAACCATCCAGAAACTTGCAGTCCAGCTAGTCCAGAGTATATGGCAAAGCAGCAGAAGCAACAAGAGAAACCCTACCCCCAAACAAGGTAGAAGATGAGAACCAACTTCTGAAAGTTGTCTACTGACCCCCCCCACACACACACACAGAAAGAGAGAGAGAGAGATTTGGGGGGCCCTCCCTGTAGCTGCAGCTGGTCTAGAATTTACTATGCAGACCAGGATGGTCTCGAACTTATAGAGTTCCACCTGCCTCTGCGTCACAACACAGATTTTTCTTTTTTAATATGACTTTTTTTCAGCCGGACGTACTAGCCCACACCTGCGATCTTGGTTCCCAGGAGTCAAAGGCAGGAGGATTTTAAGTTTGAATCCATCCTGGACTACACAGCAAGACCCTGTCTCAAAAAAATAATTATGTTTAAATGTGGTTTTTCTGCATTACAGGATTATGCTTGTTTTTCAAATGTTTCTTTTCTTTTTAAATTCTCATTTTTCTAAAATGGATATATGGATAATATATTTTATTTAAAAGCATATTTTGTATTCAAATAGAATTTAGGGTTAATGCCTGCTACATTACTGGCATGCTGTGTGATCAGGGGCAAACCCGCTCACCCTCTCCAAGTCTCAGTTGCCTTGTATTTAAAACAGAAATGATTTTTAATTTGATATTGCCATAAAATGATTTAGGATCTCAGATTCAGAAGGGTAAGTTAACCATGCTTCTGAGTCATAACATCTCATTGTCATCAGTCTATGCCAAGCTCTCTTTTTTTATTGATTTATTTCCTTTTATCCCCATTCCCCATCTCTGTGTCCATCTGCCTCCACCCCTAGGCAAACATTCTGTGGTTTAATATGTTTTTTTCCTAAATTAAAAGTGTTTCTGCAAAACACATATGGTTGTTGGGTGAATTAGTTAAGTGAAGTCCTTCATAAATCTCATTCCATTTTCTACTTTTTTCCATGCAGAATGATGCATTTAGGATCTCTCCATATTGCCATAAGACATGGCATCTTGGGTCCCAGGTGCTGCACAATCTCCTTGTTCCCTTGTGCCTCCCTTCTACTTTTCCCCTGGAGGGACACTCAGGTTTTGTCCTAATCCCTGTCACTACAAACAACACTATCTTGGGCATCCTCCTGTGTGTCTCCTTCTGGACCTATGTGAAAAATCTTTGAGAGCTGTAGCCTGGAGTAGAATGCCTGGGCCATGGGGTGTGTACACTTAATTGAACTAAGCAGTTCCAGTATTTTCTGCAGAATGTCTGCACAAACTGTGCCCTTACCAGCCAATGCTGAGGACTCCTCCCATCCCTACAGCCCTACCTAGCCAGTTTTCTAATGTTTTCCATCCCAACAGACATGTTTTATCTCTTTGTGGGTTCTATTTTAATTTAAATAGCTGCCTAATGCTTTGAGCATCTTGTCTATATTCATGTAAATTGCCAGTTTTCTTTACCTTTGGATTTATCATTGTGAACAGAGCTACCAGGAATGCTGCCTCCTTCTTGATTTCTTGTTTTTTAATTTTTAGTTTAGGTTTCAGGGAATTGTTTAGTTTGGTTGTTTGGTTGGTTGGTTGGTTGGTTGGTTGGATAGATTTGGGGGTATTTTTCTCATGCGTATGAGATAGGAATATTTTGCCTGCTTGCATCATGTACATGCAATGCCTGCAGAGGCCAGAGAGGGCATCAGATTCCCGGGAACTGAAGTTACAGATGGTTGTTAGCAGTCATGTGAGTGCTAGGAACTGAACCTGTGTCCTCTGCAAGAGCAGCCAGTGCTCTTAAATGCTGAGCCATTTCTCCAGACCTGGTTGGTTGGTTGGTTGGTTGGTTGGTTGGTTGGTTGGTTGGTTGGTTGGTTTTGAGAAAAAAAACCTCATTCTGTACTGCAGACTAGTCTTACTTTGTAGTAGCACAAGCTGGCTTGGAACTATGTAGCCCAGGTTTAGCCTCAAATTTATACCAATCCTCCTGCTTCATCTTCCTGGATACCTGGATTACAGACATGTGCCACTATGTAGGTTTATTTATTTTTATATTTATTGAGGTGGGGAGTGGACATGTGGAGGTCAGAAGACAACTTGACAGAACCAGTTGTGTCCTTCCACGTAAGTTCCAGGAACTAAACTCAGGTCATCAGGCCCATTAGCAAATGCCTTTACTCACTGAGCCATTTCACCAGCCCTCACATAGATTTTTTTTTAAGTGTTTGTGAGGTTTGTGTTGATTGGTTGCTTGGTTTTCACAATACCAGGGATTGAACTCGGGGACTCTACCACCAAGCTCTACCCCCAACTCTTTTTCCTTGTTACTTCAAGGAGTTCCTTATATTATAAATCTCAACCCCTTGGTTGTTCAGGAATAGTATAAAAAACTCTGTTCTTGCCTTGTGGATTATCCTTTTGAAAAACTGTCATTTTTCCCTCCTTCCAAGATTTTTTTTTAATCTTTTGTCTTCTTTTACCTTTAACGATTTATGTTTGTGGCACATGCTTTTAATCCCAGCACTTGGGAGGCAGAGGCAGGCAGATCTCTGTGAGTTCAAGGACAGCCTGGTCTACATAGTGAAGAGCTCCAGGCCAGTTGGGGCTACAAGAGAGGCCCTGTTTCAAAAAGACCAAAAAAAAGAAAAATTTATGTTTTACATGTCAGCCTTTAATACATCTCCTATTTGCCATGGAAACAAATAGATGAATACAGCATTTTGTGAAGGATAGGATAACATACATAGGTAAAGGGTATGTGATTACAGGTGCCTTCCATTGTTATTATCACTTGAGTAGACGGTGTTAAGTGCTGGGCTAGAAAACCTACATAAACCAGAGCATAGGAACTGTTTAGGTAAATCAAGAAAGGTTTGGGGGCGGGGGGCGAGTTACTAAGATTGGGATTCCTTTTTTAATATTTTATTTATTATTTTTATTTTATGTGTATGAGTATTTTGCCTGCATGTATGTAAGTACACCATGTGTGTGCAGGGCTCCCAGAGGCCAGAAAAGGGTGCCAGATGCCCTGGAACTGGAGTTTTGGATGATTGTTAGCCACGATGTGGGTGCTGGTAATCAAACCTGGGGACTCTGGAAGAACAGCAAGTGTTCTTAACCACAGAGCCTTCTCCAGGTCCTCCTTTTATTTTATTTATTTTTTTTAATGTGTAAGTCTGCTCTTGAGGGCAGATGCCCACGGAGGGTAGAATTCTGAGCGTGTCAGATCCCTTGGAGCTGGAGTTACAGGCAGTTGGGAACCTCTGGATCTGAACTGTGGTCCCCACAATAGAGCAGTAAGCATTCTTAACTGATGAGCCATCTGTCCAGTCCCAAGGGATTCATTCCTTTCAAAACGGGAAAGGCATGCCAGGCATGGTGGTAGGCAGAGGCAGGCGTATCTTTGTGAGTTCAAGACCAGCCTGGTCTACATAGCAAGTACCAGGCCAGCTGGGGCTATAGGGAGACCCTGTCTCAAGAAAGAAAAACAAAAACAAAAACAAAAATGGGAAAGGCTAGCCTTCCAGACAAGGCCTGGGGATGGGAAAGCTGCCGGGAGGCCCAGCTTCCAAAGCTAGGGAGCAAAGGGCGAGCACTCAACCCACTGCTGTCTCTCTCTGTCCGCACCCCCTGCAGGCTCCCTGTTCTCCACCCTGAAGCCCCCGGACGCCGTGTTCAAGGTGGTGTTCTGGCTGGGCTACTTCAACAGCTGCCTCAACCCCATCATCTACCCGTGCTCCAGCAAGGAGTTCAAGCGCGCCTTCGTACGCATCCTCGGGTGCCAGTGCCGCGGTGGCCGTCGCCGCCGTCGCCGCCGTCGCCTGGGCGGCTGCGCCTACACCTACCGGCCGTGGACGCGGGGCGGCTCGCTGGAGCGCTCGCAGTCGCGCAAGGACTCGCTGGACGACAGCGGCAGCTGCCTCAGCGGCAGCCAGCGGACCCTGCCCTCGGCGTCGCCCAGCCCGGGCTACTTGGGCCGCGGCGCACCGCCGTCCCTGGAGCTGTCCGCCTTCCCCGAGTGGAAGGCTCCCGGCGCGCTGCTCAGCCTGCCCGAGCCACCCGGCCGCCGCGGCCGCCACGACTCCGGGCCGCTCTTCACCTTCAAGCTGCTGGCGGAGCCGGAGAGCCCGGGGATGGACCGCGACGCCCAGGCCGACCTGGCCAACGGGCAGCCGGGCTTCAAGAGCAACATGCCGCTGGCATCCGGGCACTTTTAGGGTCCCTTCCCCCCTCCCCCGGTTGGGGGAGGACACCACGGTGGGGGGGGCGCAGGGAGGGAGGAGGGAGGAGGGAGGAGGGAGGGTGTCAGCCCCCCAGCAGACACGGGCCGCAAGGGGGTGGGGTGGGGGGCGGGGAGAGGGGCAGCTGCTTTTCTGGCAGGGGCATGGGTGCCAGGTACAGCGGAGAGCTAGGCCGAGCATGCTGAGAGCCTGGGGGACCCGACGCCAGCCGGGATTTATGTCTCTCTCTCTCTCTTCTCTCTCTGTATATATATGTATATCCAACAAGTCCCTCTCTATATGTATTTAACTGTGGGTTCATGTGCGTGTGTCTGTGTGGTGAATGTGTGGTCTGCATGGGTGAGTGCGCGTGTGTGGGGCCACCCGTGGGGGCAGAGCCAGTGTGTGCCCCGATGGTGTCCGGGCATCATTGTTCTTCTCTGGTGACTTGTACCTCTCCAGCCCCTCCATGTTCTTTACCCAATGATGGCACTTTGATGGGGTTGAAAACCAAGTCATTAAAAGATATTTCTCCTGTGAGGCTGTGAGTGGTTTTTGAAGGGATGGGTGGTCTGGTTGGGCATTTCCTCTTTTCCTCCTTCATAACTGGCCAAATCCTAGGTCTTTGGGAGGAGGGACATTTTATCATTATTATTATTATTATTACATTTATATTATTACTTGATGTGGGGGCATGTTCGATTGCCACTGCAGGTGTGGAAGTCAAAGGACAACTTGCAGGAGTTGGTTCCCTCCTTCCACCCTGTGGGTCCTAGGACTGAAATCAAGTGGGCAGGCTTGCCAGCAAATGCTTTACCTACTGAGTCATCTCACAGGCCCTGTTCCATTTTTGTTTTGTGTTGTGTTGTATTGTGTTTTGTGTTGTTTTGATTTGATACAGGGTCTATTGTAGCCCAGGCTGGTTGTAAACTCACTTAGATGACCTTGACGCCGGTCACTCTGCCCCCACCTCCTAAGTCCTGCAACCCTGGGTCTCATGATTCCCTTCCAGAGAAGCCACCACCACTGCCCTGCTGGTGATCTGTGGACGTCATGTATGCTGGATCCCTTGGTCCCATTTCTGCCTTAACCCATCTTTCCAGACTACATAAATCTAGTCTATGGCTGACAGTGACCTCTCTGGGCTTGCCCTGTAAATCCTGCACACCTGCTTTGGACCTAATTCCTGCTGCTTTCTCTTCCAGTAATGCCCACTCTTGGTGACGTCTGCTCTGTCCTAGATCCCTAGCACCCCAATTCTAGATGGGGCTCCCAGCCAGTTCCTGAGAAGGAATGACACCCAGACAGTGAGAGACAGACTAGTTCCCTTCCCCACTACTTCCCCAGGCCAAACACACCTGAAAAGAAATCCAGACTGCAAAAATTTCTGAGTAAAAGATGGAGCTCTATAGACCAGCAACAGGCTTGGGGAATAGAACCCAAGCTTTGCTAACCTGTGAATCTGCTTGGAGAAGACACACTGGAGAAAATCACACAGCAAGATGGAGAACACCTTGTAGAAGCTAACCTCACTTCCGGTCCCTGCCCTAATTTGCCATGTACGAGAAGAAAGTCACATCCCCTCTCCAGTCCACTTTAAGCTTGAGACTGGGATGTTACAGAACTCGAATGAGCACTAGATGCACCCCAGGTTCAGTGCCTGGTAGTAAGGAAAAGGGGCATTACTGGAGATATTTGCTCTTCTTTTCTTCCAAAGTTCACTTACAAATCAGTATTGCCTAGACTACAATTAATTGATTACTGTGAACTGAACCCATTTTGTTACTATCAAACAAGCCTTTATTTACATCCTCTGTTCTTGTATTTACAGTAACAATTTCATTAATTGCAAAAAAAAAAAAAAAAAGGAAGAAGAAGAAAAATGAAAAAAAACCTCCGAATCTTGGTTTCCTATCTCTGTAATGATGGAGCTGAGTCTAAGGTCTTTTCTGTGTCTAAAAGCCTCTGGTTTAAGAAGAGACTAAAAGGTAATGAACAAAGCGGGAAGGCAGCCTAGGCTGCAAGCAGTGCTGTCACCTGAAGAGTAACAGTAAGGCCTACTGCAGAGAAACAGTAAGCCTGTTTCTTCCAAAGAAAGTTAGGGCTGGGGATAGGGTTCAGGTGGCTGAATTCTTAACTAGCACTCATGAAGCTCTGGGTTCAGCCCCTAGCACTTGGTAAACTGGGTGTAGAGTGCACACCTGATGCACGAGGCCCTCTCTCAAAAAAAAAAAAAAGAAACTTTTTTCTTCTGAAATTCAGAAAAGCATGAGAGATTCTGTCCTCTCCTACCTCTGCTTTCTAAGTTGAGTCTCATAATTTTCTAATGTGCATTAACTCATGTATTTGCAGTGAAAACATTTGGAATTTGCTCTTTAAGTAACTTTCAGATGTTTCATATATTCTATTGAATTGTAATCATCACATTGTTATATAAGACATCTTTTAAACTATTACTTCACTTTATGGTTTTAGAAACGTTATGCTCTCTTATGGCATTAAGAAGCCTAAAGGGAAACTTTCTGATTTTAAAAATAGTAAGTTTATACTCAGAGTGTTCACCTTTTCACCCAACTAATGAAAAGTAACACCAGGACTTGAACTAGTTCTTCTGTGCACAATCCATTTGCTTTTCTATCACCAATAATCAGGGTAATCTGCAGGTCTTAGGCAAGAAGATCAGGAGGGGGGCCCATGGCAAGGTGGGACCATAAATTTATAATGTCAAAAGCTCCTGCAATAGCATTAGTACGTCAGCCCTTCATTTTGAAGGAAACTGAGGAAGAAGGTAAATAAAAGGAGAGCCAATAGTTCATGGAGCTGAAAAGTATAGGGTATCGAATATGGCCAGGCTGGGGGCTTAGCAGGACTGACAGCTCGCCCATCTCTTATTTTCAATCTACCTCTTATCCCTTATCTCTGAGTATCCTTGTATACGTCCCTTGATTCCTTACTGCAAATGACTTCCTTTTGCCATTCTTACAACTGGATAGCCTGCCCCCCACCCCCGCTTCGTGAAGAAAAGTAAAATTGCCCAGCAGTGCTGCCAGAAAAGGGAAGAAAAAAATTTAAGCCAGAAGTTCCATTTCACAGATCCCTTTAAGATTCCACTGAGGGCTAAAGAGATGGCTCAGCGGTTAAGAGCACTTGATGATCTTGCAGAGGACCCAAGTTCAGTTCCCAATATCCACATAGCTCATAACCATCTGTAACTCCAGTTCCAGGGGATCCAATGCCTTCTTCTGGCCTCTGTGGGCATTGCACAACATGGGTGCACTTACATACATATAGGCAGAACACTCATACACACTTTTTAAAAAGTAAATAAAATTAATTTTAAAAAATTAAAAAGATTCCACTGAACGTTATAGAAAATGCACATACACACAAAAATATACCATTTTTGATAACTTTAGGTGCCTTGGCTCTATCTAGGATCTCATAGGTCAAGAGTGACATCCTAGACACAGCTGTGACATAAGCTCCACTGGAATTATCTCATCATTTTTATAGACAGAACACTGAGGCTAAGAATGTGGCAAAGGCGGGTGAAATGGCTCAGTGGATAGGTGCTTGCTGCCAAGCCTAAGTATTTGACTTTGACCCCCAGGTCCCACATGGTGGAAAGAGAGAACTGACTAGCAAGTTGTTCTCTGACTCCCTCTTGTGTGCTGTGGCATGTGGCACATATGCACCCACACACATGCACACACAATGAATAAAATGTAATAATAATAATGATAATAATAATAATTACAAGAACCTAGCAAGGCATCACCAAGGTTACACAAAAGCCCCATTCTTTTGCCTCTCTCTCCAGAACCTTGTACATCCCCCTGTGTTACCATGCTGTGACCAAGGACATCTCCCATGTAAAGATTAGGGGACCTGGGAAGAAGAAGTTTGAGACCAGGCAAGAAGAAATAGCTTAGGACAGTCCTGTGGGAAGCGGGCGCAGTCGAGCCAGCCAAGATGGCGCCCTGGCTGGCTGCCAAGCCTCATGACCCTCACTTGTTTGCTCCAACTCGAGCAAGCGCTGTAAGCTTGATCACGCGCAGCCTGCCTGACATGATACGTCACTGAGCATGATTCTATTGCGTGGCCCAGTGATTTGCTGCTCTGCCTGCATGTTAGCCCCGTGCTCATGTCCTGATTGGCTCCGTGTGACGGTCTGATTGTGGGATGGATCTGATGAGGGTATATATCGTGGGATGACGAAGAATAAAGGAGAGAATGACGAAGAATAAAAGGGAGAGAATTGCTTGAACCTCACCTTGGTGTCCGTGTTGTCCTTTCCTTGGCTCTGCTGGTCAGAGTCTTGGTTCGCGGCACAGTCCTCCAAAAACATTTTATTCGCAAAACAAATGTTTATTTAAATCATCCATATTTACAGGATCCTGATATAAAAGTGGCCCCATGTGAAGAGTTCAGAGCCTGGCCTTCTCAGCCTCCTCCTCCCCTCCTCCTGGCTTCTGGCCACCCCCCCACCCACCACCACACACACACCCTGGGGCTTCATGGGATGATAGCTAAAAATCATAGGTCTAGTAGGGTGAAAGCAATTTAGAGCAGTGAGGTTTGGGTTCAAGCCTTGGTTCTGCATGGCCTCGGGCCTTCATCCTGCAGCCTCTGGATTCTTTCCTCACCTCACAAATGAATGTGATCCTGCAGCCCACCATGAAGCATGAGGATTCTCTGATATGCAAATGACTGGGCAGATAGGAGCTGTAATTTCGACCTTGGACATCTGAAGCCACAGGCACCAAAGGGATTTCCTGCATTGCTCAGATCTGATTAGTTCATCAGTTACTGGTGTCTGGAGGTCACCCAGGCAGCACAGTGGGCAGTGGCAGCTGCCTGCCTCTTTCCAGAATGAACATTGGCCAAGTAGTAGCAAACATTCTCCAGAGAGTTCTGGGTTCCAGATCAGCCCCAAGCTAGGCCTGCATTATGCCGGCCTCTCCAGGTCCCTCACTGTGGCCAGGTTCAGGGAGGGGAGAGTTCATCAGGAACCCTGGGCACAAACAGGTCTGTCCACTCTGCCCTACTCTACACTTTCCAGCCATCCAAATGCTATTGGCTCATTTGTCACCACTGAAACATGCATCAGCATAAATCTGCTGGCTCAAAAATAGAGGCAAGTGGCTTGGCAAGCTGAGGTAAAAGATCCCCCTCCAGACCTGGGCTCAAATCCCACCTCTACCCATTACGAGCTTTGCACATGAAGCAACTTAGATCATGGGTCTGACCTCAGTTCCTTTATCTATAAAGAAGGGATAAGAAATAATACCATGGGCCTCCCAGGAGAACCGGGAAGGTCAAAGGACATTGTGAGGGTAGAACAGCACTATGCCAGACACTGGATGAGTACCTTGCAGATGGGAGCTATGAGCAAAGGTATTAGTTACTCAGTTATTTACCTGGATATTTGAAATTTAGAAAATCGGAATATAGAGACAAAAAAGAAAAACCAGAGCTTCCGTTTGTTGGCAGATTTCAGAACCTTTAGAACTCGGGGTTCACTTGTTTGTTTTTATTTT